GTTACTTTAAACTGATATTGCAACCACTATCTAGCTGTTTACACCTGGATTTAAATAATGATTCGAAGAACCTAATCATATTCAAGTTCCTCGTAACAATGCCTTTTAAGCTTCGGCTGGAGATCGGTAGATTATGAGAGGTTATATATTCTTTTATTGTAGGTTCGATGAAATTACGTGTACATCAACCACATCAACCCGAAAATTCCTATCTTGTCATCTTGTCACACCTAAAACAGGTGCTGCAAGATCAGGATGGACTTGCTTGGTTCCTTATTTTTCTCCATTTTACGTATCAGCGGTTTTTTTTGTTATTATTTTCTTGTGCATGGGGCTATTTGACCCCCTCCCATCACTTCTGTGACTTTTAAGCATTTTAGATCCCCATATCAAATACTTCTAACTCGCAGGTATCTCATTTCCCTCTGTATCTCGAACCCTCTGATAAATAGAATTTTCTACTCGATGGAGTCCTTTGGTACCTCCAGCCCGTGGGATCTTCAGCCCCACAGTATTATTCGACAACTCTATCTCGAATCCCCCAGTATGAAACCCCCTGGGGTTCCTCAACTATTCGATCCTCGAACTAACCCCCTGACTCTCTCTAAGCATTTAGGTTCCCCATTTAGGTACCTCAGCATTTTAAATCCCCGAATATCTCAAAGTTCTCATCCCTATCTCAACTCCCCGGCCTATCAGGCTCCTAAGGATGTCAAACCTTACGATATCATCAATCCTAGTGGCAAGGTATCAATGATCATTTATTATTTCCTGGAATTTCAGTCGTGTCAAAGGAGGTGACAAGATGACTGCTGTTAGCTGGACGGTAGACCTTGATAAAAAAGAGCACAAAAACTGGGTAATGGTTGGATGTGCCCTGAACATAACCAAACATGGAATAGCACAGTTAATCCAAGGGAAAATGGTGGCTTGGTACCAGTTTATCAAATCTAACCCTCCTCTGCAATCACTTCCCCCGTGTACCTGTGCACGTCACTCTTCCAAGTGCGCTACTTGCAGCATGTGGAAGAAGGAGCTGAAGCGCCTCCACAAGTCCCCACGACCAAAGATTTGTTGGGACAACAGTGATAGACAACAGTGGGGCTCTGCGACGGGGGCATGGGAGATAGCTAAAGTTTTCATGCCAACCCTTGGAACTCGTAAAGGGGACATCACTGATGCCGACACGACAGACATCGGGGGACTTTTAAACCTGCTAGAGTGGTGCCCTTTTATCAATCCTCCAGTCAATCGTGCAGTTTTGCGCTCAGTGCGAGACGAGGGTAGAAATCGCTGGGCCCATTCTCCAAAGCAAGAACTTAACGATGCAGATGTCAAAACCATATTTGGACATCTCAATGGCCTTCTTAATGACCAAGTGTTTCGTGCTGACAAGGCAGCCCAAGAATCTTCCAAAAACCTGCAAGATTTGTTCCGTCATGGACTACTAACCGTTAGGGAGTCCGAAGTTGAGGCCCTTCATTTGCTTCGTCAGTCGCTAGTTGCAGACATAATAAATTTCAAGGATGACCTATCTGAGGTGCAGGAACAAGTTGATTTAAAAGGAGAAGAAATTGCTGAGGTAAGGGAGCAGCAAGTGGAGCTGAGAACAGAGCTACATGAAGATCAAGATAGAGTTACTGAGCTAGATGCCAAGATAAGAAGAGCAGAAGAATTATCAGGGAAAGAGACATACAAACTAAAAGAACAAGCTCGATTGCATGGAGAAGAAATTGCCAAAATTCAAGAGCAGCGGAATAACGTAGTGGAAGAAGTTTCAGACCTTAAAGCAAAAATGTCCACGATACAGACAGCTGTCGAACGTTTCAATATGTCACTTAAAGAGCGTGATGATTTGCAGGATGCCTTAAAAGTTATTAGCGAGGACCTGGACGATGTAAAAAGTTGTATGCGTAACGTCGTATTGGAACTTAACACCACAGACAGTAAAGTTGCCAAATTGGAATATGAAGTAAAGGAAGTGACAAGTGAAGTAGAAACATTAAAGGAAAAATTCCAACCAGGACAGAATGGAGACGGTATGAACGCAATTTGTGCTGCGCCACTGAAACTACGAGAGTTCACTGGTCGTGAGAACGCCCTTGTCTGGTTAGAAAAAAATTTAGTCTCGGATCAGAATTCTGAAAGTCCACCTAAAACATCATGCTGCACCAAAACAATTTGTGGCCTCGGAGGATGTGGCAAGACCTCACTGGCTATAGAATTTTCTTGGAGATGGATCAATCACTTCACAGGTGGAGTGTTCTGGGTTAATGGGGAAAGTGATGAAAATGTAAGTAAATCAGTTGCCGAGAACTTTGCGCTCTTAAATGTGGCTGCGTCCACAAGAGAGAATGTAGATGATTCCCTAAACAAATTTCTGACTCTACTATCCAATGAAAATCGCCCATGGCTTCTCGTAGTGGATAACGCAGATGACGTAGGAAGTCCAACATGTCCCACAGGTGTAGAGAAAATATGCAAAGGGCCTTGGCAAAGAAATGCAAGAGCGCCCAAGAATGGACACGTACTGCTTACGACAAGAAAAAATGCAAAAGACACCGCAACATTCTTAAGGCTGTCCCCTACTAATTGCCTGAAGCTGCAGTGCTTCAGTGAAGAAGAAGGTGCCTTGTTCCTAATTCGAAGAACAGGACTTGAAGGGGAATCGCTCTACCAAGGAGCAATTGATTTAGCAACAGAATTAGGAGGTCTTCCATTAGCCCTCGAGCAAGCAGCAGCTTACATATCCGCTCTTCCTATTTCTATTACCTTCAAAGATTACCTTGACAAGTATCGGCATGTAAAGCTTCGTCTTCTACAGCAGAAGCCAGTCACTGCCCTTAGTGTAGAAGCACAGCACCGACTCTCCGTACACACCACGTGGGAGATGAATTTTTCATTCGTGATCGAAAAATCGCCCGCTGCCGCCACCATGATGCGCATTGCATCCTTTCTAACGTCCGAAAGTATTCCTTTCGACGTCATAAATCCTGGGCTTCCTACAGTAAATCAAGCAGAACTGAGAGAAGCTGCGCGTTCTAAGATTGACACTGCTCACATCCTACAGGTACTGACCTGTTACTCTCTATTCTCGGTGGATCAGCATAACAGGGTATTTGGTGTCCACAAACTTGTTCAAGAGGTGGTTCGAGATAGCCTGACCCCATCACTAAAGGAAGAGACTTTGGTGGCAGCCATGCGCGTTATTCACTGTGCTTTAACCAAGAGAAGTGAAAATTGTGCAAATGTAACACTAAATAACGACACGAGATACTTGTTGGAGATGAAGGAAGAGGATAAAAATATCCTCATAGCCCTTTTATTGAATTTCAGGCAGGTAAAGGATCATATAAAGACACAGATCAAGTCTTCAAAGGGAAACTTTGTCCGTGTCCTATTCAGAGATGAGACTTTCTGTCGATTGTGCTCGTTTGTAGAACGGCTTGTGGGGGCGAACATATCCTTTTATAGACTGAAAGCTGAATTCGCAGATTTCTTATTACAAGTACGAAAAATGCATTCTGAAGGTGAACCAAATATTTTGGATATTATGTTGCACGCAAGTGTCAGTAAGAGAAATTGCTCGGACTTACGAAGTTACGAAGAGTCAAAGACTCTGGCTGACGAAACCGTGCAGAAACTTCGCGATCTGGAGGAGGCTGGTGTCATTATAGACGACGATACCAAATATCGTGTCCTTCAGCACAAAGCTTCCTTTTATGCCTTAGAAGGACAATGGGAGAAAAATTACAAAGCACTACTAGAACTTGAGAAATTGAGACTGAGTGATGGTTGTTTTGTAGAGCTTCAGATTTTGACAGGAAGAGCAGAAAACTTCGCGTCTTCTTGTAATTTCAAACTAGTTTTGAAACGTTATCAGAATGCCTTGGAGCTTGCCAGGCGAATAAATCCTCCAGATAAGCCCCTGCTGTTACGTGTTCTTCAGTACATCACTCGTCATCTCGAAAACGAGGGAAAGCTTGGCGAGGCTAAGCCCTATGCTGACGAAATGGTGGAGATGAGCAGTTCAATGCCACATGAGTCTGATTGGTACATAAGAGGAATGACCGCCGCTCTTAGTATACTCAGCAATTTTGAGACGCAGAAATCGGAAGACATGTTGCTGAATATCCTAAAAGAGAGATGGCCTAAGATACACAAGAGCGTGATTAACGGTCGCCCGGAAACAAATGCAACCACCATCGAGGATGGCAGCAATGACCACGCATGTCAAGTTTTAGATCATCTGTTTGATTGCATGAAAATTTCAATGAGAACAAAACAAGGAGGCCGAGGTGGTTTCTCTAAAAAGAGAGGAAAAATTTCCTTGACAGTAGCACAAATCTCATTGGAAATTCGAAAGAAATTTTGCGGTGAGGTTCATCCACAGCTAGTTGGAAATTATGCCGCTTTGAAAATCGCATACGAGTTCTTAGGAAATAGTGTGAAAGCAAAAGAATGCATTGAGTTGCTGAAGCAGTGCCAGACAACCAAGCCAACAACACAAGCCAACCAAGGCTTGCCGCCAATTGATACTAACATATTCCTTGCCCGGAGAATAAAAGATAATGGCAATATATTGTTCAAGGCAGGAGATTTTTTTGGTGCACTCAAATTTTACACTGAAGGTTTAATTCTATCACCAAACGATGCCAAGTTGCTGAGTAATAGGGCTGCAACAAATATAAAACTATCGGAGAGGCAATGCTCATTGGAAGATAAGCAGAAATACCTTCGAGAAGCCTTACATGATTCACAGAATGCAATGGCAGCAGATCCCTCTTGGGTGAAAGGGTATTTTTGGAAGGCTGTTTGCCTTGCTCATCTTGGCAAACGAGGTCCTTCACTTGCCACAGCGGCCGTTGCTCAGAATCGGTTCCCATCGAAATGCTCAAGTATTCCAGTTGTGGTTAATCGCTTTGGATCTTATTACGTAGAGATTGTGGACTCAGTGCAAGACCTTCAAACCGCAACTGAGAAAACAAACGCCCCGAATCTAGTGATTGTAATAAAAGAAGGGAGGTACCAGCTTCCAGAGCCCTTGGCTATTCCCGAAAATGCTGTTTTAGTTGGTCTTGGCGACGTCCAAGTAATGTGCTCTAAAGGTGTTCCATTAAAGATTGATGCAACCATTTACATGGAGAACATTGTACTAACGCCGACAGGGGAGTCCATTCAAAGACTTAAAGGAAAGGCAAAATCGTGTCTCGATGGTGGCCATGTTGATGCAGCTTTAGGGCTGTATAAAGAAGCTCTGGTTTCATATCCAAACCATCCAAATATTCTTACCAGCAGGGCTTTAGCCTACTTAAAATCTGCTCAACAACAACAATCTATTCCGTCCAAGAAAAGGTCTCTGTTACAACTTGCACTGAACGATGCAGATGCTGCCATCAAGGCCGACCCTTCCTGGCTGCTTGGTTACCACACCAAAGCAGTAGCCTTATCAGAACTCGACAGAAAGCCGGAAGCACTGGCCGCTGCCGCAGTGTTTAAACACCTAAGCCGAGGTCGGGATGTGTCGGAAGTTATTCAACACTATGGAGAGCTTCAAGTCCACGTTGTTGAAAGGTCGGACCAGCTGCCGTGTGTTTTTGAAAATGCCAAGAAACTGAGGGGGAAGGATCAGATCATCTTGATAAAAGAAGGGAAATATGTTTTAGAGAGAAGTATGGACATAACACAACAGTCTGTGATCATTGGTCACGGGAAAGTATCAATAGAATGCAGGACTGGACCACCTTTTCGCTTTCTGGTAGCATGTTATGTAGAAAATGTAGAAATGCCTGGGGACTGTGTCAGTAATCAGGAATTACATGACTGCAGATCGAATGAGACTGCTTCAGAAGTGATTCGTCTCGCCACACCCTCGGACAAGGACCACATAAGTGATGAATGTAAAGTGAACTAACCATCCTTCGATGCTTATTTTGTGTATTGTCATGCTGAGGACAAAA